TTCGAGTCACCCAAATTTGCACTCTCAGAATCAACATCAACTTCTCAGCCTCGTTCACCCCAAGCATTGGTCAAGTCTTGTTGATTCTGCCTATGTCATATCTCTCCCATCCATCCATTTATTGTGATTTACATAGCCACTGCCATAGTTCAGGCTCTCATCACCTCTTATCTCTGCTACTGTAATTGTATCCTGATTGGTCTCCCTGCTTCATGTTTCCCTTTCTTCAGTCTATCCTCAGATACCAAATTGCTGTTCCTAGAGCAAAGACCTGATAATGTCATTCCCCTCAAGTCAGTGACGGTTACATTTCAGGCTTATTTTACATTGCTTTTTTAAAATGATATTAATAGAATTGATAGATAGCATGTTAAAGTCCTCCTAAAGATACTTACTGTCACATCTCCAAATCTCATTTTCTGTATATGTAAAATGGGGATAATAATAGCACCTATCTCACTGTGAACTGTTGTGAGGGCCAAAGGAGATAATGTATGTAAAGCCCTTTATAAACCTTCAAGAACTATAAAAATGTTATTATTATTGTTGTTATTACTATTAATTCTAGGGACCAGGCAATACAGTTTTAATGGCTATATTAATAATTAATCTATTATGTTAACAATTAATATAATACTAATGACAATTACTATGAATTCTAAGGGCCTTCTTGCTATTCCTCATATATGATATTCAATTTCCATCTCTTTGCCTTTTCACACGCTATGTCCCATGCGTGGAATGCACTCACTTTTCCCTTCTGCCTTTTACATTCTCCCGTTTTCTTCAAAGTTCAGCTCAAATGCCACCACCTATATGAGTCCTTGCTCAATGCCCTCTATCACAAGTGTCTCCACTTGAAGATATCTTATATATTTATATTGTGTATATTTTGTATATGCTTTTAGGTGAATCTGCTTTTTTCCTTCATAGAATGTAACCTTTAGAGGGGGCAGTGAATGTTTCATTTTTTTTTTTGGTCTCTGTATCCCTAGTACATTGTCAAACACATAATAAATAATATTATAATGGCTAATAAATGCTTTTTGATTGATTATGGGGTGTTTTTTGGTGACGGCCTTTAGATTTGATATTCAGATCCTTTGTCCTTGGCTTCAGTCTATTCACTAGGTTGCTGAGTTTCTCTAAATGAAAATTTCCCTCACTTGAGTGTAAACGACTTTCTCTTCTTCCCCCACTCCTTTTTTTAAACTCATGGTTTAACATATATTCAGTTTCCTTTTAGTTCTTGCATCACTTTTACTTTCAAGAATTTCTTATGTAATCTTTTAAAAAAGCTGTAAACAGAAATTTCATTCCTCTTAATTTTTTCACTATTATATTTTTAAGATCTCAAAGAAACAAGAAGTCTGTCATGGGCAATAACATGCTAGGCTCAGTCTTGGGCCCTGTACTCTTGTCTTTCTACAATAACACTCTCTTTGTGTGATCTCCATCAGCTCCTATAGGTTCAATTATCTATTCTATGAAGATGACTTATAGGGGGCAGTGGATAGAGCACCGGCCCTGGATTCAGGAATCCGGCCTCAGATACATAACGCTTACTAGCTGCGTGACCCTGGGCAAGTCACTTAACCCCACTGCATAACCAAAAAAAAAGATGACATAGCTCTCCATATGATCTGATAGGCCTACATACTATTTATTAGCCTTTAGACTTGCCTACTATAAAATTTTCTTGCTTATATATCAGGTCTCACTATATAATTTCTGTATTTGGAAGCACTACTAATTTTTGTTTAATTGATGGAAAAGACTTGGATATTATATCTGTTGTGTCTATAGTAGATGAATTATGTTTCCCCTTTGTTGACCATCTTATAACCAAGGCCTTCTTGTCCATTGGGTTAAGGACAACGACTGTGAGAGCAGCCTGGTAATTTTTGGGAGGTAGAGTATATAAGAAGCTCAGTCAATGGAAAATGACTTTTTTGATTCTGTCTCTCCTTAGACCAATAATAGGGAACTCCAACTTTAAACCCTAATGAAGCAAAATGTTATTCTCCCACCCCCAATCCACTCTTCTCATTAGTGGACTTGTATTATAAAAATTGCACTCAATTATTATTATTCCTATATTTTGAATGTTATCAATAAAAAGTAGCTTTCTCTTTTGTTATGTAAATACATGCATCATGCTCTCAGCTTTGTCTCTTCACCTATAAAACCTAAAATACTTATTATCTGTCCCCTTATAGAAAAAGTTTGCCAACCCATGCTTTATACTATTTTACTTGAACTCATTAGCACACATGAATGCAATCATCACATTCTCCTACATATGTCTACATACTTCAACATGTATGTTGCAAAATTTTTCTGGCTTGAAGTCTTTAAAACTGTATGAAGATTGGCCTATTGGTCATCTGTAGCTGACAAAAGCGACTTCACGTTTGACCACTGATTGACCTTCCTATGTACTAGGCAGTTTCTATATAGCCAATATTTGTTGAATAAGCAAGGAATGCAATGCTATACTGATCATAATCATTTTAGGAAATTTGAACTGATCTATATATGCAAGGTCAGCAAACTTTCCTAGTGAAAATGACTTTGTGTTAGATAAAGGGGTGGAGTGAGGGGTGAAAGTCTTGTGTGTTCAGTCATTTTTTCAGTAGAGTCCAACTTTGTGACACCATTGGGAATTTTCTTGGGAAAGATACTGGAGTGGTTTGCTATTTCCTTCTAAAATTCATTTTACAGATGAGGAAACTGAGGTAAATAGGGTGAAGCAACTTGCCCAGGGTCACACTGCTAATAAGTATCTGAGGCTAGATTTGAACTCAGTTCCTCCTGATTCCAGCACCAGCAGTCTATCCACTATGCGGCATAGAGGCATAGAGGCATAAATCAAATCATTTTCCCAGAGGAAAATAATTCCATAAGTACCTCTCTAAATTCTTTGATTCAAAGGCCATTCTCCTGCCATTTGTCAGAGAATCGCTAAGTGTCTCATAAGTGCTAATTGTCCCTTGCCTTTTGCCTTCACTCCCAAACTGGCCAAGTTCTCCCCTTATTTTCCCAATAACTTCATAGATAAACATTAATTTGGGCCTACAAAGTCCCACAGTACCTGAAATAATAAGTAAGTTGTACTACACACTCTACATCACCCCTTCCCCCACCCCAAATTTTTTTTTTGGTTAAACAGAGTAAATCAGACACCATTCTTCTCCAACTTTTTTTTTTAGTTAAACAAAGTAAGTCAGACACCATTTTTCTCATATCCCTATCAGACAACTACTATGCACAAAAAATCCAAAGTGTAGATCTAGATCTTAGATTCTTTCCACCTTCCTTTTATTTATTTTTGGTTAAATGCTTATTTATTTTAAAATATTTTATTGGCGCACTTGATTTTGATATAATCATTTTTGGGTGTATTTTCTCCCCTACCTCTCTGCATTGAAACTATCTATCTATCTATCTATCTATCTATCTATCTATCTATCTATCTATCTATCTATCTATCATTTACCAAAGATAACCAAAAGAGTGACCCAATTGTCATTGTAAGTAACACTCTTCCTAAACATTCCTCCAGAGTCATCTTTCACTCTATACTCTTCTTCAACCTTCATATTGATTCTGTTGTTTTACTTGCAGTCAACACTATCACTTTCATTTATTCCTTCCTCTCCACTCACTCACACTGCCAACACCTTAGTCCAGATCTCTATCACCTTTCACCTAAATTATCATAAAAGCTTTCCAACTGGCCTCCTTGCCATGTGTTCTCCACCCTACTACATTCTTCCAAAGGTTGTCAAAATAATTTTCCTAGTACATGCACCTGACCATGTCATTCCCTTCTTCAAAAACTTTCAGGGCTTAACCGATTGCCTTTAGGATAAAATATTAACTTATTTTTATGACATTTAAGGTCCTATGTGTTGCTCAGTTGTGTCTGACTCTTCATGACCCATGGACCATGGCACACCAATACTGGCCATGGGGTTTTCTCAACAAAGATCCTGAAGTGGTTTGCCATTTCCTTCTCCAGTGGATTAAGTCGAACAGAGGTTAAGCAACTCCCCCAAGGTCACACAGCTAGTAAGTGTCTAAGGCCAAATTTGAACTCAGGTTTTCCCAACTCTAGGCTCACCACTCTATCTACTGAACCACCTGCTTGCCTCCCTTAACATCCTCTACAAGATGACTATGACCTCTTTTTTTTCTGATCTCTCATGCCTCTATATATGCATGAAGGCTACCTGGCCACATCTGAAGCACATTTTCCTCTTGTTTTTATATGTTGAATCCTTCTCTTCCTTTAGGAACCAAGTTCAGATATCTTCTCTATAAAGTCTCCCTTGGACTCATCAACTGAAAATGAAGTCTCCCCTATCATCTTTTATCAGAACACATTGTCTGGATTTTTCCTTTTTCTCTCCCCCAAACTACCTTCCAGTGTGTATTTCAACCTTAATTAGATTGTAAGCTCTCTGAAGGCATAAATTGTGTCATTTTTCCTCTCTGCATTCCTAGAACTTACACAGGGCTGTGCTTCATAAACATTTGTTGAATTAAATTGTTGTATTGAATCTGCTCTCTATTCCTCAGGGAAGTAGTGTCAGACTTACAAGTGGCAGGCAATGGCAAAACTCCTGACTGTGGCTGAACCAAATGAAAATGTAATTGAAAAATATTAACAAAACAAATAAAAATATAATACAATGTACATGATACAAATTTGTGTTTTTCTAAGTCAATATGTGGCCTGCAGGAATTCTTTCCTATCTGATATTGATGCTACTGCTTTAGGCTTTGGTGTATGTCAGCTTTTGCATGCAAATTTATTTTTTCTTTTTGTAAGAAAAATTTTCAACTTAGGACAAAAGTTCTTTTTAAAAAACACATTTAATTAAACAAATAAACAGAAGGCTGAATATACAAATTTGAAAAGTAAAAGTTTTATACATAATAAATATTATAAATATTATGGTTAGAAAAATACAATAAATATATAAATACAGATTTCAAAATATTCAGGTTCTTCAGCTAATAAGAATAGATTCTATTTCTCTGTATTCTAACCCCTTTTCAGCATACAACTTGATAGCTTATATTATTTAAAAATATTCCATTAGTTCAGATTTTTTCATTTGGTAACAGAATAGTTACATGCTGGGTTTTGGGAAATGAGATAAAGTGTTCTGAGAGTCCATTTCTTCTTCTTTAGTTCATGAGATTTCTTGTCAGCTTGTTCATGAACAGAAAGATCTTCCTGATCTCTACTCTCACAATCTCCCAGGCACAGTGGCTATACTCTTTACCTTGCAGGTACTGCCTTATTCCTTGGAAGTAGCTCTTCAGGGCCAGCCTGGGGTTCACACTTCCCAAGGAAGGCTCCTCCCACTCCACATCCTGTCCAAGACACCTCTCCAGCTGTTCCAGCTGCTGATGCAGTCCACTGAGTAGTTGCATGAGCTGGGTCTGATTCCAAGCGGCAGGAGTGGCACTCAGGCTGAAGATGGTGAAGATCTGCTGGAGCATCTCATGAACAATGACTGTGCCGTTTTCCCTCTGGAGCATGGCTTCCTTTGGGAAGTTGAAGTTGGTCCTGTCCTTCCAACATGGCCCCAGAGAAAATGGGCTCATTTGGTGCAGAAGTGAGAAGTCTTCCAGAAGGCCCTGAGTCAGGTCACAGCCCAGGGAGCAGAGGGTGCTGGAGAAGAGCAGCACCAGGGCAACTGGCAAAAAGGTCCAGGAGGTCATGGTGATGCTGAGGATGGTTTGGGTTTGGCTGAGCTGGGAGACCAGTGAGCCTTTGTCTCAGCTTCTTGGGTTATCTGTCATCTAAGCCACACTCCCTTATATAGTGCTGATTATAATTTTCTTTACTTAAGTGGGATTTTCTTGCACTTTCTATTTTCTTTTACTCAGTTCCCACATTGGCCTGAGAAGATGTCATTAAAATCTAGCCTTGTGTCTATCTGTAGAAGTGCAACTAAGCTTATTCTTAAAGAGAATTATTCAGATTAAACTGTTTCTGATGAGGGACCCTCCCCCAACTTTGTATTACACTTCTTATGAGTGGCCAAAGCCCATTAATCTTCTCCCTCAAATGTCTCTTGAATCTGTCCTTCTCCACTGTCACCATTTACATTCAGTCCCTCATTACCTCCTGTCTTCCTTTGAGTTCCGCAGCACTCATCTTCCCAGTTATTTTTTCCAATCTCTTTTTCCTTTTCAGTATCACTTCCTGCATCATCTTCTACCCCTTGGTAGGTGTACCTCAGGGCTCTGTCCTGGACTATCTTTTATTCTACCTTTGCATTCTCTCCCTTGGAGATCTTATAGTTCTCATGGGTTCAAATTGCCTCTCTAAGTAGATGGGTTCCAAATCAGGTATTGTCCAGTACCTGCTGAATGTTACTTTCTATATAACCTAGAGGCATTTAAATTAAGATGCTACCAGTAGAACTTACTATTTGTCCCCCTCCTCTATTCTCATCTTCACCAACATACTGTTCCTTTCCTATTTCTATTTTTCATAGTCAATTGTTAATAAGCATTTATTAGGCACCTATTATGTTGTCAGACACTGTTCTAAGTGTTGGGGGATTAAATACAGGAAAGAAAGACAGTCCTTACCCTCAAGGAGCTTACAGTCTAATGGAGGAAAGACAACATGCAAAAGAAAGCTTTAAAACATGGGGGCATAGTGGAGAAGTCAAAGAAGTCCAAAATGAGTGTGTGTGGATGAGAAGTCCCTTCTTCCTTTTCCGCATGCCACTTCTTTCCCATAATCCATCATTTCCCAAGTCTAATGTGCTCCACATTCACAACATTTCTCATATGCCTCCCTTTATTCCTTTAGCATTTTATCACCTAGTTCAAAGCCTGAGGACCTCTTAGTTATACCTACATAGTAGTCTCCTAATTTCTTTCCCTAGTTCCAGTCTCCACTGTCCATTCACTTGCCATGTCACTAAATTTTTTCTTTCTAGATCTAACCATAATAACCTTCAGTACTTTCGCATTCTCTACAGGATAAAATATAAACTACTTAGCATGGCATTTCAATCCTTCTAGATTTGGATTCCTATCTATCTTTTCCATTTTTATTGTATATTATTCCCCTTTGTGAATTGGAGTTACATTCACAGAAAATGTAATTCCTCACATTGAGGAGACTTAAAGATGCCTTAGAAGTTGTATAAAAAGTATCAAGCTAGTTTAGAACTGTACTTATTTCTGAGATTGGAAAAAGTGTGACAATCCAGGAAAACCCTTTAGGAGGAATGACTTGTACTTTCTAAAACTGAATCCACTTTCCCCTGGACTCTATCTGTACTAGTGTGAGAGTGTCATAGACTTTTGAAGGGTGTTTTATAGCAATTATTCTCACTGTACCACTTTATTAAAAGCTTATCTCTTAAAACTAAATCTATTTGACTAAATGATTCTCAGATGATAATTATAGTGCAAAGCACACATATAGTGGTTCATGAACTCTCTGTCTCTCTCTCTCTATATATATAAATAGATAGATAGATAGATATACATATATATACATATATATACATATACACACAACACACACACACACACACACACATACATATTGATAGAATGACATCCTCAAAGCTCTAAGGAGTATACCTAGAACCTTGACAGAACATAATTAGCCACGATGTGGGGACTTGACTTGTCAGTATGTGGGAGAATTGGGATAATAGCTGGATGCTAGTAGAGCTGTGAATTGATCCAGCCATTTTGTAAAGCAATTTGGAACTCTACCCTCAAAGTCACGAAATTGAGCACATACCCTTTGACCCAGCAATACCACTACTAAGTCTCTAGCCTCAAAGAAATGAAAGAAACAGGAAAAGGATACACATAATCTTGGCAGCTCTTTTTGTAGCAGTAGTAAAAAAAAGAGAGAGGGAGAGAAAAAACTAAGGAGTCTCTACCTTTTGGAGAATAGCTAACTAGTGAGATATGAATATGATGAAATATCATTATGCCATGAGTAATGATGAACAATTTCAGAAGAAAATGGAAATACTTCTATAAACTTTATGATACAGAGTGAGTTGAACACAACTAGGAGAAAAATTTGTACAATGACAAGAATATCATACAGAAAAACAACTTCAAAAGACTTTAGAACATATTCCATGAAATGACAAATCATTACAATTCCAGAGGATTGAAGAAGAAGCACACTTTCCATTTCCTGCCAGAGAGGTGATAGACTTAATGGTACCTACATTCTTAGACAAGTCCAGTTTGGAAATATGTTTTATTTAGCTAACCATATTTTTAATGAGAATTTTCTTTTTCTCCTTTATGCTTCAGTAGGTGGAGGGGTGAAGAAGTGAGAGGGAGGGAAAATAAATATTTGTTAATTGGAAAAAATGATTAAATTTAGAAGAAGGAAAAAGATAGTAGCTCTAGGGAATGTTACATATACTTGCTCATATTTAAATTAAGTTCTTGTCAGTCTTTTTCTTTATATGTTAAATTATTGCTATGTTTTGCTTAATTTGTGGGATTGGCAAGAATATTATGTCTGTTGTGACTATGGTAGGCTCCAGGTTTTTTTTTTCCTTTTGTTGACAATTTCAGACCCAAGTTCTCCTCAAATCATTGATTTGGGGACCAGGATTGAGGCAGTGACCTCATAAGTCTCGTCCTGGCACAACACATGAAGCAGCATGGAATAATATAAATAGACCACTAGAGTTGAAGCCAAATAGTCCTGGGTTCAAATCCTTCCGCAGACTCTGGGCAAGTCATTTAATCTCTGTGCCTCAGTTTTCTCATTTCTAAAATGAGGAGGTTGGATTCAATGATCTAAAGACCAGTCCAACTCTAAATAAATGATTCTGTGACTATGTAAAATTGTTCTTTACACTTTATTTTGTCCAGAGGCCTGATCGCAGCAGCCTCTTTCAACAATCTTACCAATGGGGTGAATATGAAAAGACTGATTAAATGTCTTTTGTGCCCTCTGCTGGCCGCAGTGCAGTACTGCTCATATTCCTCTGTCTCTGAATTTATGACCATCTCTCTGTCTCTTTATCAAATTAGGCTTTTGGTGTGACTTTTTTTATTTCTTTTTTTTCTCCCATTTCTACATTGTTTGGCTATAATCTCTCATGTCCTGAGCCTGGAGCAGAGGCTCACCTCACATCCACCACCTTGTAACATAGTTTTATTTTTGAACCAAACAACCTCTGTTCTCTCTACTGGGTTTTCACTGCTACCACATTCCCTGGTTTTCACAAGATCCCCTACCCCCTATCCCCTGTAGCCTTTTAGGGAGAATCCATATCCCCTATTTTCCCAAAGCAACCTAATGCTGACTCTGGCTTTTTAAAAAGGAAATTTATTATAAAACACTACAAGGAAAACATGCAACAATCATAACACATTTGATTAGTACTTTATTTTTACAGAACATTTTCCATGCAATAATATTGAAAGGTAAGGGATACAAATATTAATGAACCTATTTAGTAGATGAGGAGGCTGGTGAAGTGAATTACTTAGGGTCACATAGCTGTAAAGTGTCAGAACTGGGAATCCACTATAGATCAATTCCCAGTCCTATGGTCTTCTCACTATAACACACGGACTTTAGAGCTGGCAAAGGAGCTTTAAAATTTATAAGCGGTAATGTTTTTAATACTTTGATTTTGGTCCTAATTACAAAATACAGGTATAGACCTAATGCTTTTTTTTTTCTTGCTTTTCCCTCCTGCTCAGCTTCCTTCTACTTGCTCTTTTTCTGATATTAGAAAACTTCTAGCTTCTACTATGGATTAGCTTTCTAAGCTGCTCCTGCTCAGCCTTCTGGAACCTGCTTTTCCAGCTCTCAGCTATTGATAGCATAGGTAGGGATTTTCTTCCTACAGGTCTTCATTGCCATCATTCTCAGCCTACTTCTTTATCTTCACTAGCTATGGCCAGATCATGAGCTCTAAGACAGGTTACTTGCCTGGGATTTTTTTTTGGTGGTAGGGATGGGGGAGAGCCTTGAACATAGACACCTATGGTCCAAGGTAGAGTATGGTAAGTGCATAGGGCACCCAAAGTACTATGAGAGATTCGGGAATATTGGTGTCAGGGATGGTGGTTGTGCTCATGCAGGCTTTCCGCACGGATCTGTCTAGATGTGGCTCATAGGGAGGCAGGAAGAGACATCTCTAAAGTCTTCTCCTTTCACCCCTCTACAATGGAGACTTTGTTTCCTGATAGGAGGAGAGCAGAAGATTGGGGCCAGAGGGTGTTTACTCTCTTCAGAAAGGGAGTACCAAATTAGAATTATGTCTATGTGCCCTCCTAACTATTATTAGTCTAAGGGAAATAATTTGTAGGTTCAAGCTGATCTCCTGATTGCTATCCCTCAATGGTAAGGATTGCTTCAAGCTATATATCCAAGGCTTGACTTCCTTCCCACCAAATACCAATTACATAAAGATGGCATATGGCAAATAAACTCATTTATTCAAACTGAGAGCAAACAGAAATCAGCTAAACACTTAAGACTACATGTCAGACAATATACTGAGGGAATGAAGCCTTCCAAAGGCAGTGAGAAATCTCAGCTCAACCGAAAGAGAGTCCCAGCTCTTACCCAAGGGGAAATTCCTCCAAAGTAATAAGCTGGGAATAATAAGCCAGGGATAGGGACATGATCTAGGTGGCAGCTCCTCTATATTAGTTTCTTTCCAGACTAGAGCTGTGTGTCTTCACTCTGGAAG